AAGAGGTGGTGATGGTGAAGATTCGACGGGATGAAGGTGATGGTGACGGCAAAACGTCGACGGTAAGAAGAAGATGGTGAGGGTGAAGATTCGACGGGATGAAGGTGATGGTGACGGCAAAACGACGACGTTAAGAAGAAGGTGGTGACGGTGAAGATTCGACGTGGAGAAGGTGATGGCGACGGCAAAACGTCGACGGTAAGAAGAAGATGGTGACGGTGAAGATTCGACGTGGAGAAGGTGATGGCGACGGCAAAACGTCGACGGTAAGAAGAAGGTGATGACGGTGAAGATTCGACGTGGGGAAGGTGATGGCGACGGCAAAACGTCGACGGTAAGAAGAAGGTGGTGACGGTGAAGATTCGACGGGATGAAGGTGATGGCGACGGCAAAACGTCGACGGTAAGAAGAAGATGGTGACGGTGAAGATTCGACGTGGAGAAGGTGATGGCGACGGCAAAACGTCGACGGTAAGAAGAAGGTGGTGACGGTGAAGATTCGACGGGATGAAGGTGATGGGGACGGCAAAACGTCGACGGTAAGAAGATGGTGACGGTGAAGATTCGACGGGATGAAGGTGATGGCGACGGCAAAACGTCGACGGTAAGAAGAAGATGGTGACGGTGAAGATTCGACGTGGGGAAGGTGATGGTGACGGCAAAACGTCGACAGTAAGAAGGTGATGACGGTGAAGATTCGACGGGAACAATACAGTTGCAAAGCCGCCTCATGCAAAACTGAACGGATACATGTTTAACGCAAAAATGTGCACACAAACATACATACATACACCTCATACACACTTGCACACTACTCAACACACATGCATACTACAGAACGCACAATAGAACAAACACAGGAAGCGCATCACAACACTGGCATACCGCAGAGTGTAAAATCCTTTCTCTCCGCACGGTTAACTAAGGAAATAATTCAACCTAAACCATATCATGCCAGCATCATGCCAGGCCGTGCCCCCCAATCACATCATGCCAGGCCATGCCCCCCAAATCACATCATGCCAGGCCATGCCCCCCAATCACATCATGCCAGGCCATGCCCCCCCAATCACATCATGCCAGGCCATGTCCCCCAAATCGCATCATGCCAGGCCATGTCCCCCAAATCGCATCATGCCAGGCCATGTCCCCCAAATCGCATCATGCCAGGCCATGTCCCCCAAATCGCATCATGCCGGGCCATGCCCCCCAAATCACATCATGCCAGGCCATGCCCCCCAATCACATCATGCCAGGCCATGCCCCCCAATCACATCATGCCAGGCCATGCCCCCCAAATCACATCACGCCAGGCCATGCCCCCCAATCACATCATGCCAGGCCATGCCCCCCCAATCACATCATGCCAGGCCATGTCCCCCAAATCACATCATGCCAGGCCATGCCCCCCAATCACATCATGCCAGGCCATGCCCCCCCAATCACATCATGCCAGGCCATGTCCCCCAAATCGCATCATGCCAGGCCATGTCCCCCAAATCGCATCATGCCAGGCCATGTCCCCCAAATCGCATCATGCCGGGCCATGCCCCCCAAATCGCATAATGCCAGGCCATGCCCCCAAATCGAATTGTGCTAGGCCATGCCCCCAAATCGCATTGTGCTAGGCAAAACCCCAAACCGAGTTGCACCCGGCCACCCCAGGCCCCGACAACATCCGCCCAGGTACCTCCCAGATCATTTTGCGTGGGCCCATTACTGGGAAGTTCAGCTGCGCAAGTCCTCGTGTTGCATTGATTCCATTTGACCATCCAACCGAAACCGTTGGTCATTATTAACGTTGATCACTCGATCGTTTACAGAACTGCTGTATTCGCCATTTATTTGATATTATATTATTAACCGTTATACGGCCGGTATGGCGTTTATTGTACGACACCATTCGTTCGGTCATTGTTCGTAGTTGGCGCTGCATGCAGCCAACAAGTTATTAAGCCTTGGAATGGCGGCAACTGATGATGATGATGACGATGATCATGATGATCATGATGCCGATGCGTCTATATGCCGCCGCCAACGTTGCCGCCGCCGCTAGCCAACTGGCCAGCAGCGGCGGCGCCCGGCTGGGTGCAGCTGGGTGCGGAGGAATTGCACCCAGCAGTGCACCTGAAGGAAAAAGGACAAGGCGGGGGAAGGGCGCGGGAGGCCAAAATACGGTTAGCAGTACGACACAACTAACACACACATAATTAGGTGACAGTTGCAAGCAAGGGTACCGCTGCTGGTCCCCACGACGCACACCCCATGCACCAAAACCCCAAGCCCATCCGCACCCACCTCAGCCGGGCCCATCATCAGCAACGCCCGCTCGGTGCCACTGGGGCGCACAGGTTGATGCCCCAGCCGCACCTGAAGAGGAGGTGCGCGATGAAGGGGGAAACGGCCAGAGGGGATAGGTAAGGGGGCAGCATACACGGGGGGGAGGGGGTAAAACACCAAATGTCATTATTTTGCCCAAAAGTCACAAGGCCTCGTTGCGACACGTGCGCTGCGGCCCTGCGGCCTTTTTCCGCGACCACTAGTTGAACCCAAATCACGAAGTACGCACCACACCCACACCCACGTCGCCCACCCACCCATCCACCCACCTGAGACGGGCGTTATAAAAGTACGGCCGGCCCCTGCGTGCGGGTGCCGGCAGGCCGGACGACTCGTACGCCCCGAGTCCCGGCAGCCAGTCGACCCTGCATTCGGGTCCTGGCACCAGGGAAGCTGCCGCAAACCCTGGCGATAAAGGGCCCGGGCCATGGCCACTGCTGCAGCTGCTTGCTGATCTGCCGGCTGCTGCTGCTGCTGCTGCTGCTGCTGCTGCTGCTGCTGACTACATAATGAAAAAAGTAAAAATACGATGACAGGAGGTGCATAAAAATGCCCCGGCACCCTAATGCACGCCTTAGCTTATTAGGCTGAGGCGCATTACTAATCTATAATAACATATTTGAAACAGAGTAAATAAATAAGTAAATAAATAAAGCGGAAATAGATATCATGGTTCAGCTTTATTTATTCATCTATAATTTAATAAGGTGTAGCCTCCCCTTAATTAGGTAATCCCCAAACAAATGAAAATCAATTGTGCACAACCAGGGCTGTGGGCACCACAAACGAAAACACGACAAACTGTACACGCGCGGCAACAGCCGTGACACGCGCACACTCGCTGATGCTGGTTGTTGGCTGCTGGCTGATAGCTGCGTAGCGTAGCCCATTTAGGCAATATAACTGGCTGCAGCTGCTGGCTGGTTAGATAACGCTAGCTGCCATCCGCAAAACCCAGCGACGACAATAAAACCGCCGGTCACCACCAACTGTCCACCAACTGGATCAACATCTGCCAACCTCTTCCAACCAAACATATCTCCAACGGACAACTTCCACCATGACAACCATATTTCTCGACCCGATCCTCCATATCTTTGGACTCCCTTATTTCCTGCTTTGAACTAGTC